CAGTGTTTTTTGGGAATGTTCGTAAGTTAACTTACTCATCGAAGGAGTTCATTACTAGTCGATCATTATATACCATTCGATAGCGCTTTTCAAGGACTACATTTACTACTGTTCGAATTCAAAAAAGTTAACTTGTCGATTTTTGCTCAAATTTCTGCCTGAATGCCCACTGTGGGTGGGGGGTGAGGGTGAGGGGTATTCTCGTGTATTCTCAGTGAGAATTCACCAAGCCCAGCAAGCCCAAAGAATACACTGCGTACTGATATTCTCACACCCCTCAAGTCCTTAAGACTTTTCTTAACAGTAGAACGCCCGTAGCGGTCATTTGACCATTTTGTGATTTTTATGCTTAATAAAACAAACTGCATACAATTTATTTAAAAATAAATTATGTCATAACTTTAATTTATCCCACAAAAATTATTTTTTGCAGAATTTTTAATTCATTTTTGAATTCAGAACCATTTTTAAGTATAAAATTTTTAAAAAAAACAGTAACGGTCAAAATGACCGCTTTGGGTGTTCTAGGTCATGAAAATTTCCGGACGTTCTAGTGTTAAAGAGTGAGACATGTACTATATTCCCTAAAACTTTGAAGAATGCTCCAGATAAGGTTCACGAGACTTTGAACTTTTTTGTGTGCTGGAACAAAACAAAGTATTTTTCAAAATTTTAGAGATGCGATCATAACGACTAATCATTTGTTTTCAAAATTCAAAAAAATCAATCTGAATGGATCAAGTTTGACTAAGCTTTATTTGTTTTATTGGAAGGCTCAAATTATTGGTAAAAAATTATTGGAAATACAACGATGAGTATAATTCATAGTAATCGGACAAATATATCTCTTATAAAGATCGAAGAATCGAAGAAATTTCAACAATGGCAAGAATATAGAAATTTAAATTATCTAAATATTCCCCTAATTTAAACTAAATTGAATACTAATAGAAGAATAAACATTGAGTAAAATTCATTTGTTGAATATTGAACATGTTGAGAACACTAGATAAACGATATTTTTTATCAAATCAATGATATGTGGATGTAAATGTAATGACAAATGATGTATATCTGAAGATGTGAACATTCTCTAAAATATGTGTACAAATATGTTAACATTCTAAAAACTTAGTACAATGTTTTAATTTGTAAATAAAGTGAGATGACACATGCTGGTGGATGTGTTGAAGTAAGTACGATATAAATTTGTGAACTTGAGAGCTTTTTGGTATTTTTAATTTATGTTAATCATATATTTTGCGACTAAAATGAGAGAAGAAATCTTGAAACTTTACTGTGTATTGATAGTATATATGGGTTTCTATATATAGTTCATCTTTACCAATTTTTCTGTAGTGCGTAAAAAGATTTCTTATTCATGAAAAAAATAAAATATATTGTCATAGAATCTTCTTGTACTACATAATTTGTAACTAAATAAAGAACTCTTCGTATATTAGTTACGATTAATAATACACTGTATGACTTATGATTCATTTATTGTAAATTTGGACAATTGTTTTTAAGCGTAGCTTCCTAAATGCGGCCGAAATTTAAGCCAATTAGTATAAAAGTGGACGCAATTTGGAACGAGTAAATTTGTATGATTCTGCGTTTCCAAATTGCGGCCACTTTTTAACTAGTGAGTAATCAGCAATCGTAATTTAAAATATAGATATATAAATTAGTCGCTTTTTAGAAAAATAGAAGTAGAAACATATATAAGAAGAATTGATGGAGAGTAAGGTCACACTGTATTTAAAACAATGGATACAAACTTTACTTGGTCAAAAACTCAAAGAGGTGAATCAGCAATTTTGTATAATAATTACTTATATCACTTAAATTAAATTAAATTAGATTAAATTTTTTGTTGATATAGCTGTTTTGGCTCATTCTTAATTGAGATCACTATGTTTCACTCACTCTCATTTATATAAAAGTGGACGCAATTTGGAACAAGAAAATTTGTATGATTCTGCGTTTCCAAATTGCGGCCACTTTTTAACTAGTGACTAACCAGCAATCGTTTATCTAGTGTTCTCAACATGTTCAATATTCAATAAATGAATTTTGCTCACTGTTTATTCTTCTATTAGTGTTCAATTTAGTTTAAATTAGGGGAATATTTAGATAATTTTAATTTCTTTGGTATAGAAATAAATTTCTATTTACATATGAAGAAATGATAATACATTGAAAAACTAGAATGATAGATTAAATAGTATTAAAAAATTATATCCGACTTTCGATTTTTATTGATATTTATCTCATATACTAAAGATAAAAGTTTATTTTGTGCTTTTTTGCTAAATTTACTATTCATTAAATATATTCCTCAGTGAATTTTTTACTTTATCCATAACACGCTTAAATGACTAATTTTACACACTAATTCTCTACTAAATTGTCGTCTACGCATAACAGAAATAATTTTTTAAATTTTTCAAAATCAATATTCTCAACAATTTCTACGTTTGGTTGACGCTTAAAATGATTGTGCCAATCAGAAATCATATGTCCAGCAGCACACGACCCAAATTGTTCAACAACAGCATAAACTTTTCTTGTTTCAAGTATCATAGATTTGTCTAATACACAAGCCCTAAATGCAAAGCATATTATCGTCTGAATATTATCGAGAATTCAAAATGTTTTACTTACATGGCTACTGAGTCACACGAGTTAAATCCACTACCCTGTTCGTCGGTTTTACTAAAATCATACAAAAATTCTGAAACAGAATGAAATAATTTTGCTTTTTTACTCTCATTTTTTCTCGCAAATAAACTATCAATATAATCATAGGAAAGACTGCATATACACGTTAATTCGTAACTAATAATCAAGGGCATAATATGAAATTCTTCGAGAACGATAGATGCAGCAAGAGGATCACAACGAAAATTAAATTCGATTCCAATTGATAGTGTCTGATAATTCGGCAAAACGGAGTTACCACCCATGATATACAGTTCTTTCAAATGTTTACTAAATTCGGGATCTAAACGATGGGCTAAAAAAAGATTGGTTAATGGACCTATGGCGGCTACTACTAATTCGCCGTGATATTGTTTAGCTAATCGACATAGTGCCATAGCTGCTGGTTCGTCTTGCAATAAATTCAATTCAATATTTAGACCTATTGTAGCATTACCGCAACCATCATCGCCGTGCACATGTGAAGCATATTTATATTTGCCAGTTACCGAGCATTCCGCTCCCTTATAAACTGGCACGTCTGTACGATTCAATGTTTGTAATAAATAATGGACATTTCTTACACCGTTACTTAACGACGTATTACCCGTTACACATGTTAATGCCAGAACATCGATATTTGGACTTGACAATGCCATTGTGATTGCATGGAAGTCGTCAATCCCGGGGTCAGTATCAATGACTAATTTTATCTTTTTATTCCTAGCCATTTTTCTAAAAGAAAGTTGAAATGTGAGTAAAAAGCAATAGATTAATAGTAAGCAAGAGTGCACTAGAGCATTTCTGCTCTACGATTGAACAATTAAGATTTGAAGATGATCTCACTGTTTAAAATATACTCGTGTATATCTGTGAAATTTTTCTTAACAAGCTATCCTCTCGAAATGCCGTCAGTCCACTAACCAAAATGTGTAGAATAAAATAGTTGAAAATGATATTATCGCGTAACATTTTAACAAAATGCCGTATTTAACGAACTAAAAAGAAAATGTTTTTTTCACATACTACTAGCTTGTAGACTATAGCTATCTATATTAGAACTGCGACAAATAGAAGAAGAAGAATATAGCTATACGTTACTACGCTTTGAGTATAAAATACACGCGCGCTTTGAACGAGACAACGGAAAAAACCAAAATAGAACATAACATAACGGTGTCTGCAAGTGTAAACGAACCTCGCTCAATTTTTCCTTATAACTCAGTCATTTTTGGACCAATAGGCCTTTAACATTCAGATACATACTCTAATATTCAGACATATATGTATATCTCTACCTGAATGCTAATTTATTTATATTGATATCTATACCGAAAAAGAATTTAACGATTATTTACAACGACCGTTTACAAGAAGATTAGAGATATCGCTTAGATATATATATCTCTATTGACATTTGCTTCGCATTTGTCGTATTCTGTCGCTCTACAAAAAAAGACCATATGAAAAATATTTTGTGTAATCAATTGCTCATGACTCACTCATTTTTGGACTAAATTAAATAATTCTTTGACATCAGATTCACAAAACTTTTTTCTCCTCACAAATGTGAAAAAGTGAGTCCACAGTGGAACTCTGCAACGGACTCAATTAAAGTCTACATGCATGGTGTTTGGACACGAAAATAAACCTGTTGACTTTAATCGAGTCCGAAATTTTTTGTTATGACAAATCAGTAAGTTTTTAAAATGTTTATATTGATACATATAACTTACTACTAGATTTGTTAGGTGTAAAATCTGTTATCTGTATCTGTCCTCCAGATGCACTCAGAACGCTGACCGTTTGATATAGAGTTTACAATGGTGGTCCATAAAAGTGTGCATCATTAAGGAATTTTGCTTTCTTTCTTAAACGCATTTGATCATAGTATTAATTTGTTTTGAGCAATAGGCCACCTGCGAAGTCTTTTAAACTGTTGGCTTCAGTGTTTCAATATCAACAATAATTCTTTTGCACATGTGGTTATATCTGACCATACCCTAGTGAATGTACTCAAGTGTGAGTACTCAAAAAGTACTCTGCTAGAAAAACCGGACGAGTACTCATACGTACTCATACATTTTTTTACTCACTGAGTACTCACCTGAGTACTCATGAGTGAG